AGAGAGAGAAACGAAACGTGTACGGCGAAGATGTACTTTACGGAACGAGATTATTTTTCCGCCCGAGTGTACCCAGTGGAATTCCACGGTCACCCGGCCTGAGAAAGGTGACTGCACCTTGAATCGACTCCGGCGGCGGCGCGATGCAGCCGTTCGCTCACTCGAATCGCTCGCTTGCTCGCTGCTAAGCGTGGAGAGAGAGTGGCAGAATTTCAGCTCCGGTAGAATCTGCAATGGTTTAGGATTAGGCTTGGAGGCGTTTAACTTCGCGACACAGCGGAAATCGGACGGAAATTAAGCACCGTTTAGTATTTGCAGAAGATGCATGTTGATTTGCACTCACGAAGAAGGGGGAGAGGGCTATCGCGCGTAATGTCGCGATTATTTCCGACAAAGCAATTGCTTCTTTCGGACTATGGTATCTTCAATCTCGATAATAATGCAGAGTTGATTCGTTCTCGACGAACTTAATTCACAAAATTATACGTTAAATGAGGAACGTGTGCTAAAAAGTTAAAGGAATAAATCTCGCCGAATAAAACACCGGACGCGGTAGCGATAGCGGGCCGTGATTTATCGGGGGTAAATTACGGATGCATCGAATGGCGAAGAAAGAGACACGGGCGGGAGTGAAAGTTACTATCGATAATGGAGTAACGCCGTCGTTCGGCGCCGCCGCCGAAGGAAAATATATTGCAGCTCCATTTTTAGATATAACCGCGGAGAATTCTCTCTCTCTTTACCATTGGATACATCTGCACATGTCTCAAGGACACTCATCCTTGCTCGTAAAACCCTTTCCACCCCGTTGACGCCGATTTGACATCAGGAATTTTATTATTTGATACGCGACGCGAATTTGTCGGATAAAAGCAGGATTTACGGCGTACGACTGCGTTTCGAGAATAAAATTAAATGTGTACATTGTCACTTATCACAATTAATAGATTGGTTTGCGAAGGGAGAGCGAAATATATCTTTGTAACGAGTTTCGGCTGCCGAGGTTCGAGATTCGCGAGCAAACTTTTCAGGCAATCGCTGGAAACTGTGAGATTTTTAATTTTCCCAATATCGATAATCGAACTATATGTCGATGATTTTTCCGAATAGTTCGATGGTTTTGTAAGCATTCCATGCTGCAAAAAAAAGGCAAAAAAGCAGTTGAGCGGCTCAAACTCTATATATATATATATATATATATATATATATATATTCACAATATAACTTTGACGTTCATGAAATATCGTTTTCGGGCGAACAGCTCTCAGAAATAAGTTCGATGCCAAATGAAACCGCGTAATCTATGCGGTTTCGATAGCCCGATAACATGAAAGCATCATCGATTCTGAAAAAGATTTAGACTATTATTTTCGCTCAACATTTGACTGCCACGAAGAAAAGCCAAATATACGATACGATTTCTATATTTTATACCGAAACAATTTTCATTTTATATCGAAAGGTATGTCTCAACGTACCATAAAACCGGTGTTAAAGATTGCTTCAAAATTCACAATGTTCGCGCTATGTTCGTTTTGCAGAATAGGTTTTGCGGAATAAAAGATGACGCAAAAAATAAGTAACTTCTTATTCTAACATAATATATAATCTTTCTTGAAAATACGATTGCATTTATACACATTCAGTAATATTGTTATATATTTGTACGAAAGATTGCAATATCGTTACATTATATCGTGCATTTGAGGATACGTGTAATGCACGTTTGATGATGCGACCGTGTTAAAGATGAGCGGGGCAGTGTTTCCGGCGCTTCAACGTCGAGACATCGACAGAGAGAACTAGCGTAGGAACGTATCTAATTTCGCAAGTTTCAGAGAACCAACCGAAGAAATATCCGGCGGAAACTTTGCAAATTTTCACTCGGCGTCTTTATCTTCGTCGAACTTTGCAAATCGAAGAGCTTTGCGCGACCTGTGCAGTCTCATGCTCTCCCGATAATCTCATTCTCTTTTGGAATTTATATTTCGCCTTGCTCATTTCACACGAAGGACCTTTTTATATTCTTATTTATTATGATAAGACACAATTTCAAC